AATGGCTGCAGAGGTTTGAGGACCAGCCTTCTGCGGTCACATCAGTAGTCTTCTCAACCGACGGCACACGGCTTGCATCCGCCTCTGATAAGACTGTACGGCTCTGGAGCGCCACGACGGGGACAAAGCTACAGACGCTCTGGGGCCACACTACTACTGTCACGTCAATAGCATTCTCGGCCGACGGCACCCGGCTCGCATCCGCCTCTAATGACAACACAGTGTGGCTCTGGAACACTATAACAGGGAAATGGCTGCAGACACTTAAGGGCCACCCTGATGGGTCCACGTTAGTGGCTTTTTCGACCGATGACACACGGTTCGCATCAGCTTTTAATGACGACACAATACGGCTCTGGGATATTACAACAGGGGAATGGCTACAAATACTTGAGGGTCATATTGCTGAGATTACATCAATAGCTTTCTCGACTGACAATATACGGCTCGCATCCGCCTCTAATGACAAGACAGTACGGCTCTGGAACGCTACAACAGGAGAGTGGCTACAAATACTTAAAGGCCATACTGCTGAGGTTATATCTATAGCCTTCTCGACTGATAGTACACAACTCGTATCAGCCTCTAAGGATAAGACCGTACGACTTTGGGATGCCTTGACAGGTGAACAACTACAGACGCTTGAAGGCCATACGAGTGGGGTCATATCCGTAGCCTTCTCGCCCGACGGCACACGGCTCGCATCAGCCTCTTGGGACAAGACAGTGCGGCTCTGGGACGCTATAACAAAGGAATATCTGCAGACAATCGAGGGTGATACAATCCTATCACTCACCTTTGAATCACCATGTCTTAATACAGAAGCAGTCTATTCATATCGTCTGCAGGAGAACAATTCTTGGATTGCATGGAATAATGATAATATCCTCTGGCTTCCACCCGATTATCGATCATCGCATGCAATGATTAAAGGACATATCTTTACAACAATAAGTTCTAACCGAGTTATCATAATCAATTGCAAGGAAGAATTCAACTCATGTAAAAGGTAGTAATTTATAAATGAATATTGTGACGACCGCAAGAACTCTTTTTATTGTCTATACGAGGATTCTAAACTAAGGAGGAAAGAAGAGAGACTGAGAGGAATCTTAAGTATAGGATCGGAGTCACATAACCTCAAGCAGCCCCTCCTCTCACGTGATAGAGACGCTTGACCTGTGAATCGCAGAGGGACCAAAACGTCACACCTCTTCTAGGAGAAGGCTTGGGGGACAATTACAGCGCGATTTTATTGCGACTATACGTTTCTTGCAATCTGGAACTTCCTTTACAACTCTTTGGATCCATATCTAGGGCTCTCTTTTCAACAAGACCGGGGATCAGAGCACACTGTGTGAGAGAGAAGAGTTATACCGAATTTTCGGCCTCCATTTTCGCCAGATCTATTACCAATGGAAGGCTGTTGGGGAAGACTCAAGGATATATTGCAAGCTTTAGATCCAGAAGTTCACAGGGACTCAAGAAGGGCTAAAAGGGCTGTTTTGGAGGCATGGAACCTGATTACAGATGCAGAGATCAGGGATATGATTCATATTATGCTATAGAGTTGTCAGGACACCATTATAGCTCGCGGAGGGTACACAAAGTGACAATATTCTAAATAGCTTCAATTGTATCATTTGATATTATGGCAGGATCTGAAAGCGGCTCTGGTGGCGATAACATAGTGGCAAATTATAACTATTACCCCCTGTACGGAGTAGTGTGATCGCGTGCCGTTGATGGCGCTGATAACAAGCTCGACTTCGGGTGTCCTGTTGCACGTGCGATACAATACGGTACAATAGACTATATGAGTGACAAACACGTATGGTGTCAGCGCCAAAAGTGGCCAATGTGGTCTGTGCTCAGAATCTTTTTAAGCGAAAGGGGGCGAAGCCGATTTTGCAAGCGACTGTATACCCCGACCCCCTTCCTCTTCCCATCCCCTCCAATCCCCTCTCAACGGAGAAAACCTCCACCATGGCAGAAAACTTTATTTCGACCACGGTTAGGTGCTATCCTTGCCTCGTACTGTACTGTAGATTTACGTATCTCGCGTGGGGGTACAGTAAGACGTTTTGAGTTTTTTGCGTCTTTGACTTTTCGAGGGACCGGGACGGGGAAGCAACCCACCTCAGAACCCGAAAAGTTAACGGGATGGATAAGGGGGCGAGCATGGAGATTGTCGAGAATGCCATCCACATCCACGGACGCTCGGGACGGTCGTTTAAGTGTGCTCGGACCTGGACGGACACGTTGGCTAGTATAGTCTGACAGGCTGATGGGCTGAAGTGGACGTCCCTTTTGATGGAGAGAGACGAATTACGATTCGGTGACCACTCACTGCAGTATTCGAATGCTGGTAAGTGGATGATGGATGGGTTGAATTCTCGATTTAAATTTTTTTTTTCCTTTGTGAAATATCAGATGTACTGAGGGAAAAAAAAAAACCCAGGGTTCCCCCACCAAGTTCGCTTAAAGAGTTTCCTCGCTCACGATCGATGCCAAGGGGAACAAGCGCGAGGATCGTGGCTGGCGTACGGGGTTTGAGATCACTATGTATCTACCGGCACCGTGTTCCGATCGCATCATACGCCCGATCTCCAACCATGGGTAATTGAATGATTGAGCGTGGGATGATGGGTAATTAACGAGTAAAGTACCAGTACGAAGATCAATTATGACATATCCCACTAAAAGAAGTACCGGTACTCCTAGTGCACTTGGACTAGAGAAGGAGGTACCGGCACCGTAGTCCATGTTGAGAGATGGACTAGGAACGGGGACCTAGTAAATCGAGGGTCCAGAGAATGGATAGAGAGAGTCGGTTTGGTACCGATTGCATCTTTTGGTTGATGGAAGGAGATGCTTGGTAAGGGGATTAGGGTAGGTGTTGATACCATGGTATCAATGGAGGCTAGAGATTCGGAGAAGCTGGAAAGGGGATATGGAAGTTCATGCTTAATTAAAATATCAATATATCTCAGTCAAAGCAGATCTCGTCTGATAACGAGGTTAGTTCATCCATGCGTGGAAGTTTGAGATCTGTTATCCTGAGAGAGTGGGTCGGGTAGCGGTCGGAAGTATCCGATGAGCTAGAGATCTTCTACTCTTACATTGGTGTGAGGCTGGTAAGTACTGGTACGAATTCGGTATCAATCTAGAAGTTAAGAACCAAAAGTGGATTTGTTGATAAGGATAAATTGGGACCGGGAATAACGGCAGTGTATCTTAGTGAAAGGGGATCTTGTTCGGTAACAGGGTTCGTGAGCTCGAGGGCCCATTAGTTGTCCAGGAAATAAGAGACTCGGTACTGGTGCCGGGAAAGTACGAGAGAACCAGAGAAAATGAGGCGTTGGGAAGGGTAGATAGATGCATTACATCTCTCTGAGATTCTGATAGCTCGATACGGCAGATCTGGTAGAGCTTGAGATGACCATCTGCAGTACAGTACCGGTAGTATATCTCGGTACCACTCGCCTCGCTTAAAGACAAGTTGGAAGGAGATCTCCTGTTATTGTTTGATGTAGTATTTGATTCATGGTGCCTCGATCGAAGGAGCTTGGGAAGGGTAGATAGCTGCACGGAACCTGTCTGAGGTTCTGATACTTCGATATAGTAGATCTAGTTCGTACCAATACCTACTGGTAATTTATCTCGGTAACACTCGCCTCACTCGAAGACAAGTTGAAAAGAGATCTTCCATCATTGTTTGGCAAGGTACCTGATCCATGTTCCCCCCCGATCTAAGAAGTAGATGCATTACATCTGTCTGAGGTTCTGATACTTCGATATAGTAGATCTTAGCACCGGTAGTGAATCTCGGGAACACTCGTCTCGTATTCAAGGACCGAGGTCTCCCATCATTGTTTGAAAGGGTAGGTACCTGATCCATGGCTTCTCCGATCGAAAGAGCATTCTCGGAGATATGATAGCATGCGAGATAGATTGGATTTAGATTGGTGCCCTCGACTAGAGGGGATCTTTTGCTCGTCGTGTTTTGGTGCCGAGGTCGAAGTTCATGCTCCATCAATGGAGCATTCTCGGAGATATGATAGAATATGAAATAGATCGGGACCGGGATGAGTACTGGTACCATCTTCGGAAAGAAGCAAACTAGATAGACAAGGTGAAAGGAGATCCTCTGCTAATTGTCTGGTAACAATGATCCTAAATCCATCCTCGATCGAGGATCATGATAGCACACGAGATGGACTTGGATTGAGATGAGCACCAGTATCGTCTTAGGAGGAAAAGAATGGACTAGATAAGCTATCCAAAGAATCTCTGGTAACGAACTCGCTTACTTCATCCTCGATCGAGGATCATGAGACGATTCCCATCTCTCTCGGAACCATAACCCCTCGACAGCAACAAAAGCAGAAAAGAAACTTAGTAACACATCTTACTTGCTGCCCCTGCGTCCATCTCCTATCATCTCCTCTCATCTAGCACAATACACTAAAGCACCATACAAGCTGAAAGCAAAGCAAAGTAAGCACAAAACTGTGGTAACAGCTCTGATTAGTCCCTGGCATCAAGAGGGAGGGGGGAGCTTGGACTCATGGTTCATGTCCGTCGTCATCGATAATCTTGTGGACGGGAAGACGAACAAGGCTGGGCTTACCGAACGTTAACAACGAACGATAGCGTCAACGAACGTCAAACGACCCTGAGAGTCTTGGAATACCCTTGATGATATGTGAGTTTGCCACGAAAGCGGAGACTTGCTGCTTGGAATTGTGATAAGAGTGCATAGATAGAAAATTTGTATAAAAGTTTAAATTTCCTTGCAACGTAAGATTCCTCCTCTTCAAGTTACTGCACCGAGGGGCAAGAAACTAATAAAAGATCATGGGGGTTACTATACCTACCGACCGTTACGAACGATAGACAGAAAGTCAAAATACCCTTGGAATATGTATGTATAACGTGAGCCAGATCTGCAAGCGTTGCAGCATCCAGGATACTGATTCAGATCCATGGTGTCGTACCGGAAAAGGATTAGTAAACATTAGAGTTTACAAGCAGACGCGAATCGAAAGAAGAGATCAGACACCGGGTGTCACACAACATCACATCGATCACACACCCATCTATCTTACCACCATCTTATCTCACTCGGAGATTATTCAACTCCGATTATTACACACTTGTATCGAGAGCTAAGCTTACTATCGATAGTCTGTCTTCTCGGCTCAAAGAAACGAAACTCAAAATCTCGCCAACTTTTCGTGTCAAGTAACCAAAAGCAGTCAAGCCTGCCAACTTGCACCTAAGACAGGAAGGAGGTCAGAAACCAAGGGAAGTGAGACATGTGGGGAACAGTCATCTGGCACAATCCGAGGTGCTAGACCAATGAGACGGCGTACCAGACTTGGGAACGGGAATGGCAGGAAAAAGAAAGGTGGGGACGGTTAACGGAAGACGGATGGAGGGTACAGTACAGTACTGGTAGAGAACTGGAAGCATCTTGCAATTGTGAGGGAAGGGACTGGATGGATCTTGCGCTTGCGCGGAGATGGTGATCATAGATGAAGAAGCGAACGAGGATAATAAAACGCTTTTCAAACAAGAAAATGTGGTAAGCAAGAAAGCAGATGACAGAGGAAAAGGAAACTCGGTACGACGGGCCAGGTCTCACCCATCATCAGATTCAGAGCCGTACTAGAAAATCCCATCATCATCAGCAGCCAGCGAGAGGGTCAAACGATCGACCCGAAGATCTGAGTTAAGCTTGCTGATCTTTCTCTCACAGAATCGCCCCTGCAGCAGTAGGAGGTTGTACTTCGGCAGGAGAGAGACTTCGCTCGATTGCTGGTTGCATATGAAGAGAAAGCTTGGGAAAATGGCTTGCGAGTCGTACAGTAGTTTGGGAGAACTAGAGGAGGTTTGGGACTTGCCTGCATAAGTAGTGGATGAGACTACAGTAGTTTGATTCATGCAAGCTGATGACAGCAACGACAAGCTTGTGATAATTCCTCCATCGGCTGCAGCAGGCGAGGTA